GCCATCACCGCCGGTTAGCAACAAACCGGCAGTGTTGTCGTAACCATCACTGTCGGTTAGAAGGAAACCGACAGTGTTGGCTTGCTCAACACTGCCGGCTTGAACCATGAACCGACACTGATAGTTACGAGAATACTGCCGGTTTGATCCATGAACTGACACTGATATTTACTACAACACTGCCGGTTTGAACCATGAACCGACAGTGTTGGCTTGCTCAACACTGTCGGCTTAAACCATGAACCGACACTGATTGTTACGAGAACACTGCCGGTTTGATCCATGAACCGACACTCATATTTACGACAACACTGCCGGTTTGATCCATGAACTGACAGGGTAGGCTTGCTCAACACTGCTGGCTTGAGCCAAGAACCGACACTCTTGAAGCAACCGTCACTGTCGGTTGGCACTACAAACCGGCTGTGTTGTTCAACTGGACACTGCCGTGTGGAGCCAGGAACTGACACAGTTTCCTGTAGATCAGTGTCGGTTTTTAAGGACCGACAGTGATGTCAACCCCCCATCACTGCCGGTATACCACTATCGGTTCAAAATCCGGCAGTAAAGTGGGTTTTTGAACCGGCAGTGATGTCCAGATCTGGGGTAGTGATATATATGGATATTGATATGGATATAGATATAGATAATCGTAACCATGGGTATTTTTATGATAATTTAGGTGGTTAATTTGAAATATTTCCATTATAGTATATGTGGGTAAATTGCATACAAATTTAGGTGGTTATTTAAAGTTATCTTTTAGCAATTTACATGCACTATTAGGGGATCCTTTATGTACTTTTCATAATGATAGAGGTGCATATTTTTTATAAATTATAATAGATCCAATGACTGTTATTATGGATGATGATTAGAATCTATCAAACTAAAGGCTAGATGTTTTTAATTGTTGCGAGAATTTTTATAATTTATCATTTTTTCTAAAGCGTCCGGTGAGAATTAACATTGTGTCTTAGTTAGAGCCTCTAGTTTTTAGATGCAAGATTTGGGGTTACTTTATATATTTTTCATAATGGCAAAGTTGTGTACTTTTTTATGAATTATAATAGACCTAATGGCTATATTATCATAGATGATGATTAGAATCTATGAAATTAAAGGCCAGATATTTTTTATTATTGTGATAATTTTTAAAATTATTTTTTTAACGTATCTAGTGAGAATTAACGTAGTGACCTCCATTGAAGCATCTAACTAGCAATAGGACGATTTGAACTTTAACTCAGGTTTTTGCTGATTGCCAATCTTTTCTTACATGCAAGAGCAAGTCGATTCGTTACCTATCCATATAGAATTATTATTGCTGCATACTATTTCCTAACCATCTTCAGCACGGTTATTGGATCACAGCATATATGGCTCAAGCATGTCTCTGCAGCTTGCCATCGCCAGCCGCAGTCGTCGTCCCCGCGTAATTGTGGGTGCAGCAGCAAAGATCGATGTGCTGACGGCTCGTTCACCTGAAACTGGTGACCCTGAAGTGGAATTCGTCTTCGCATTTTTGCTCGCACGGGATATCCATTCATCCTGGCATCTGAAAGCAATCCTCTGTACCACCAAAATAAAACAGCAGACATACATGCATGTTAACCCATTCAACTGAACAACGGAAAAATTTACTCTCACTATATATATAATAAAATAAATAATTAAAGTAGCCTCATTCGTGTGTATGTGTATATATACCTTTTGCCCAGGTGGGTGTCATGAGGGTGCAGGACATGACCATGAAAAGGACTCAAATGGCAGCAGCTACGGAGTACACCGCCCTCATCGTATCAACAACACTCGCAAGTACTATTCTTCTGTTTCGGGATGCAAATGGCCTGATGCTTGTACCCGTTTATATAGAGGCAAATTGTTAGTGTAAATGCCACATTAATGCTGGCATATCTCAAAGCGAGGATTTTATATCTTTGCTCGATCCTACTATACACCGAAATAGTAAATGTGCGCCTATCCAACTCGCCACGGAAATATATAAAGGAAGCTATATAATTTTATAGGAAATACATGGAAAAGATATGAAACTTTGTAGTTGACAACTTTTTTATTTGAAATCATCTTGTCATAGAAAACTATGTTTGAATTTTTCAAATTTGAATTTCAAATTTTGTAAACGACCTTGGATGGAGAAACTACCAAAATGAACGTTCTAGACCTTTAAAAGTTATAAAACTCTGTAGTTGACAAATTTTTCATTTGAATTCGTTTCGGGCCTCAAACAATCAATTTATGTTCGGTTTAGTATAATATGTGGAGAACCACAATGGATTATAAACATAAGTGAATGTGAGGTGCAGTGGTAGAGGAGGTTGCACATGTGCAGCAGGTCGCGAGTTTGAAACATATGATTATTGTTGAGTTAGAAAATAAACATATACTATGTGAACATCTTATTTATATCATGGAAGACAAAAAAATAGAAGTAAAATATGAAAATAAAAAATAATATCAATTGAAAATTAAAGGAATAAATGAAACTAAAATAAGAAAATATGCGGAAAACATAAAACGAAAGATAAAGAAGAAGAAATGTAAAAAAGGAATAGTGTGAATAAACAAAAATACAACATAAATCATCTCCTATACAATGTGTGAATATCATGTGTATCTCATCAAATACAGAAAATAAAAATTAAAACATGACAATGATAAAAAAAAAGAAAAATAATTGGAGTAAAAGGTGGAAAAATTAAAAATAAGAAAATCTACAGGAAACATAGAACAAAAGATAAAGGAAAAAATAGAAGAAAATAAAGGTAAACAAAAAATAACATCAAATAAAATATAAAACAAAGAAAATAATTAATTGGACTAGATAAAAAGAAATGAAGTAAAATATGAGAAAACACCAAAGAATATTAAAAAGAAATAGAAGCAAGGAAGAAGAAAAAAAAAAGCACATTGTGGCGTGGCCGCGAAGGAGCCCCACACGTTCAAGATAAGGCCCAAGAGTACATTCGTAGAGTATGTTCAAGAGATTAGTCAAATCAATTTTTTAAAGGTAAATTTGGCTATTATTAAAGAGAAAAATGTCTCCAACAGCTGTAAATGACTCTCCAAATTTAGTAGCTCTCCATCTCACATTATTCGCTCTCTAATTTTGGATAGCCTACCTCACTAGCCATCCAGCCTCTTAGTTTTACAGAGTCTATTGGAATACTCTAGTATTTTTTTTGTCAAATCTAGTTTAAAGAGTAGTTAAATCAGTAAATTTGGCTAGTCTTTTTGGCTTATCTCTTAGAGATGCTCTAACCGTGCGCGCTGATCAGCAGGAGACTCCTATCCCACCAGTCGGACGGGGAGGATTTTGCTTAAGGGCTCGTTCGGTTCCTAGGGAACCATTCTCTCGAACAATTCCTACCTGGATGGCTTGGCTAATTCATATAACCTTTGATCAGCTAGAACGATTCTTGAGTGGATTTTGGGAGGACCGAATGAGCCCTAAACTGTCCCTTTCATTTCATCCAGAGCATTTTTCACGTGTAGAATCCTTATCCTGAAATTAAAAAAAATATGGCAACTTGTGTAGCCTTGGCCCTTTGGAATATCTCTCTTGCTAGATTTCAATAGGCAACTTGTAATATTCTCAATTGCTTGGCAGCAATCTAGAGGTGCAGCTGCAGACAGATCCATGGGAATGCCAATCATAATTTTTTATATGCTGTCCAAGTTGCATGATGATTGTTAGGAAAAAAAAGTTGGCTGATTTGAGTCTCCCCAGTACTTGTTAATTTTTAAAACTCAAATGGCAGATGCAATTCAGAGGAAGAGCATCAATCTCAATAATGCCAGTAGATACCTTTCCGTATGCGTGGGTGCAAGTGGGTTTTAGATCCAGATGTATATAGCACGTGCAGACCACTAGATCCATGTCAACTCCCTTATCTCGATCCTTTTGCTACACGGCTTGCGGGACGAGAAACATGAGATCATTTTGCTCGCTGAGTGCAAGTGTATGTGAAGGCATGCAGCTTCCTCTGAAGCATCACCAGGCGCCGTACGTGTCACTATAAATTGGCAAGCCATCCCTGCTACCGAGCACACCACAAGCTTCAGTAGTAGCAGTGCTCACTACAATCGTTCCTCACCTGATCTTGATCTGTCGTGGAAGTACCAGAGAGGAGGAGGTAGCTAGCAATGGCTGATGCAATGCCACTGCTGCATGGAACCCTCGATGCTACCATCTTCGAGGCCAAATTCAACAACAACAACCAAGTTAGCAAGGTGAGCTCAGTTAATCCCTCACGCCTGTACATCCCATGTATGCATACGCACGTCCTTTGCTAGAATCTCACTTTGTTAATTACCCAACTTATTTAGAAGCTGTAATTTCTTTATTTATGAAACCGAAACACCGGCCACATCATCATCATCATTATTATTATTATTATTATTATTATTATTATTATTATTATTATTATTATTATTATTATTATTATTATTATTATTATTATTATTATTATTATTATTATTATTATTATTATTATTATTATTATTATTATTATTATTATTATTGTGCCATGCATGTTTTTCAGCTTGTGAAAACTACACCCTACACGTTTTGGTGCGAAAATGTTTTTATTTGCCAAGTTAATATCTTACTATTACTATGTAGAGACTCCTTTTGAAGCCTCACGATAATCCTCATGACACGTGACAGTGACAGGATTGAGTAAATCCTCAAAATTACCCGAAGAATCAGAAACACAGATCCATATATTCAGTAGACTCTAACAGGCATTGGATATTTTATTTAATACAATGTACTATGTTTGTAATTGGTTCCAGTATATGCTGTCAATTTATCCTTCTCTGCCATTTTTATTCTAGGCAGGCTGAAGCTAAAGTTCATCTGTAGATCAAAGACCCTGATGTCATACTCTTTCAATCTGTGAAATTAGCCCACCGTGAACCGGTCCACTGTCTGAGTCAACCACCAGTTCACAAACTTCAGCAAACTACAGCGCGCCATGTGGCAGGCCAAGTCTGCAATGACCTGGTCAGCACGGACAGCCAAGCACATTTCGCACTTAACCTCTTCTTTCTTAGATTCAACCGGCACTCCATCTCCTTTTAAAAATATATATTTTATATATGACAAATCTAATGATATTATTATCACATTAATAATTTCATGTAGTTTCATTCTAACCAATCAAATCTTTTCTAATAGTTTCTTTGTCTCTTACCGCTTTAATTTCTCATCTTTAATCCTTTGTTTTCTTAATTTACACAAGCGTCCAATTTACTTCGAACCCCCAAAAAAAAAGGTCGGATGGAGAGCAGATATGGAATTTCTCTTAACTACGGAAACTTAGGATTTAGAGAGGATACGAGTCGTTCCACATCTACTGCGCGCACTACAGCACGGACGTCGTCTTCTCCATCAAGGCGCGGCTGCCCATCGACGCCGTGCTCATCGGCCGCGCCTACCTCCCCGTCCAGGACCTCCTGTCGCTCACCCCCAAGGACCAGGACATCGACAGGTGGCTGGACGTCCTGGACGAGCACAAGAAACCACTCCCGCACGGGCCAAAGATCCACGTGCGGGCACGGTTCACGGACGTGGCCGTGGACCCCAGCTTCGGTAGGGGCGTCGGCGGCGCGCAGTACGCCGGCGTGCCGGGGACCTTCTTCAAGCAGCGGCAGGGGTGCAGGGTGACGCTGTACCAGGACGCGCACGTGCTGGACACGTTCAGGCCGGACATCCATCTCGCCGGCGGCCGGGCGTACGAGCCGCGCCGCTGCTGGGAGGACGTCTACGACGCCGTCGACGGAGCGCGCCACTTCGTGTACGTCACCGGCTGGTCGGTGTACGCCGAGATCACGCTCGTGCGGGACGGCAGCCGGAAGCACCCCGGCGCCGGCACCACCCTCGGCGAGCTCCTCAAGCGCAAGGCGAAAGAGGGCGTGCGGGTGCTCATGCTGGTGTGGGACGACCCCACCACGCTCCTCAACCTTGGCATTCTTCCGAGCCAGCTGGGCACCAATGATGCCCACACGTTCAACTACTTCAGGGGCACTGGCGTGCACTGCGTCCCCTGCCCTCGCCACCTCGACGACAGCGAGTACCCCATCGAGTTCCGGAAGACGGTGCGCTCAGCCACCACCAGAAGACCGTCATCGTGGACGCGGAGGACGGCGGCGGCGGTTCCGGCCTCCGTCGCGTCGTCAGCTTCGTCGGCGGCATCGACCTCACCAATGGCCGCTACGACACGCAGTCCCACTCCCTGTTCAGGACGCTCAACACGGCGCACTCGAACGACTTCTACCAGAACAACATCGACGGCGCGTCCATCAACAAGGGCGGGCCGAGGGAGCCGTGGCACGACATCCACTGCAGGATCGAAGGCCCTGCCGCGTGGGACGTGCTCCACAACTTCGAGCAGCGGTGGAGGAAGCAAGGCGGCAAGGACGACATCTTGCACAACGTGCTCTGGCCGTGGAAGAGCAAAGGTGACCTCCTCGTCGACCTGAAAGGTATGGAGAACGTGATCGCGCCGCAGTCATCGCCGGCGATCGCCGACGGTGACCAGGAGGCGTGGAACGTGCAAGTGTTCAGGTCCATCGACGGCAGCGCCTGCTCAGGCTTTCCCAAAACCCCGCAGGAGGCGGCTCAGTCAGGGCTTATCAGTGGCAAAAACCACGTCATTGACAGGAGCATCCAGGACGCCTACATCCACGCGATTCGCCGCGCCAAGCGCTTCATCTACATCGAGAACCAGTACTTCCTTGGCAGCTCGTTTGCCTGGAAACCCGACGGCATAAAACCCGAGGATATCGGAGCAGTGCAGCTGGTGCCCAGAGAGCTGTCATTGAAGATTGTGAGCAAGATCGAAGCCGGCGAACCCTTTGCAGTGTATATTGTTGTTCCAATGTGGCCGGAAGGCGTTCCAACGGCTTGGAACATCCAGACTATGCTGAGTTGGCAGAGTAGGACGATGGAGATGATGTACACCGACATTTCCAAAGCGCTCAAGGCGAAGAACATCGATGCAAACCCAAAGGATTACCTCTCCTTCTTCTGCTTGGGTAACAGGGACTTGAAGGTACCAGGTGAATATGAACCTAAACGTCATCCGACACCTGGGACCGACTATGACCAGGCCCAGAAGGCGCGGCGCTCTATGATCTATGTCCACTCCAAACTAATGATCGGTATGCCAAATCACATATATTCACCATATCTTCTTTTTTCAGTCACTACATACTATGCCATTGGATTAATCATCGTGTGGTTCAAGTTGTAATTATTCTTCTCACATTTAATATATGTAACATGTAATCCATCTTCTTGTTTTTGTTACAGTGGACGACGAATACATCATTATCGGATCAGCCAACATCAACCAGCGGCAGGGGCGGATCCAGAACGGGGCTGCGCCCCGGGCTGAGCTTCTGATTCACGTTCAAAACAGTCTGATCTTGCTTCCTAGGCCTCCTTTTGTCTAATTAAGATAATAGTGTTTTAGGCTAAACACCACATATGTTAAAAGGGCTACATGGACTCGCCCCGGGCTGTAGCCCGGGCAGCCCGGGCCCTGGATCCGCCCCTGACCAGGGGTTCATGGACGGAGCAAGGGACTCTGAAATCGCCATGGGTGCGTATCAGCCATCCCACCTCAACACCAATGGTGATGTTGCCAGAGGACAGGTCTATGGCCTCCGGATGTCGCTGTGGTACGAGCACCAGGGCGAGCTGCAGGAGGAGTTCCAGGACCCGGGTAGCCTCAAGTGTGTTCAGATGGTGAACAAGAGGGCTGACGAGTTCTGGAAGATCTACACCAGCGATAACCTGGAGGATAACCTCCAGGGACACCTGCTCAGTTACCCCATTGATGTCACCAATGATGGCATGGTGACAGAGCGTAAAGGGGTGAAATTTTTCCCAGACACAGAAGCTCCAGTACTCGGCTCGGTACCCCTGCATGTACAGCTCGGCAGTCCATTCACAGATTATGTCTTTACTACATGAGGGGCCAAAAAATAGCATGCAGGCGCAAGACATACACTATCCCATAAACAGTTCAGTACCGCCTTCTACATTTGGTGCGCAAATGTATTCTAAGGCTGTATGTATGACGTTTCTGAGCTACTACTTTCCTGTTTACCAACATTCGAATAATGTGGTTACTGTTAGGATCCATTGAACTAACAAATAGTATTAATATATGTATCGTCTTGTTTCAATAAATAATAAAGTGGCTCGGCAAATTGTGCAGCTAGATCATTGTACTTTTCTTGTTGTTGTGGTTTCAATAGGGTCGTTTTTCCCCCAATGAATACCACTGAACCCACTCGTGCAGCACCGGGAGTTACTCCTCATCTGCAGAGCAGGAACGCGATGGCCGATGGCATGAATTGAGACTGAGGGCAACGTAGGGTCAGTTTGGTTGCAAGGCTAGCTTTGCCTTGTCTTCCTGGCAAGAGCAAGCCTTCCTTTGCCAGGTTGGGTGAGCCAAATTGGCTCACCTGATCGAGTTAGCAAGGATTTTCCTTGCCTACTGACTCCAAGGTAGCCAACCTCTCAACCAAACAAGGACCTCTCCAGTGCATCCTTGCTGGGTAAGGCAAGGTGAGTTTTGTGTTGGGAAATGGGGATCCCGATAGAGAGTGAGAGTGAGAGAGGGGTGAGCTCGCTGCAGCTCGACACCCGGGGGTCGAAGGCTCCGCTCTGGGGCGTAGGCCTTCGACTAGCGGAGGCACGGGTACAAAAATGGATTTCACGTAATTACCGAGGCAATAATTAGGGTTTCAAATTACACGCCATCCTCTCTTGGGGATGATTGACTTCCCCCTTTCATAGGGTACGGTTACATCATCTGTCGAGTACAGAAATGTCCCTAGGTCAACTAAGGCATATTCCGGTATATTACTGTGCCCATGCGTACCGGGCATTAGAGTCTTTTTCTTTTGCAACCGCCTTTGTTGATGGGCCATTGTCGAGCGTGGGCCTTCATCCCATTATTGGTCGCACCACGGCCTTCGACTAATCTTCATATTCCCCCGGCCTCTGATTTGGCACCACGGCCTTCGACTGATCTTCATATTCCCCCGGCCTCTGATTTTGGACCATGGCCTTTGACTGATCTTCATAGTGCCCCGGCATCTGATTTTGCACCACAGCCTTCGACTGATCTTCATAATGCCCGACCTTTGATTTTGCACCACGGCCTTCGACTGATCTTCATATTCCCCCGGCCTTTGCTTTTGCACCACGGCCATCGACTGATCTCAAGCTACTACACTAAATTCTATTGGGACTCTTCAAGGGTGAGTTGTCCCATATTCCATATGGACTCCCCGAATAGTTGCCCCTTAGCTACTAGGTTATGGCCCGTACTACATGACCTAGTATATGTTCATACAAGAAGAGGCACAATACAACTCAAACCTTGGTTGCAAGGATCGTCCTTCGCAACCTGTACGTGCGCGCCTTGCTAAAAACTCCTTCCCAAAAACCCTATCGGAAAAAAGGGCATGGAGACAAGAGCACACACACGACTCTAACCTATACATGCTCTAATTCTCGAGGCTTTTAGCTCCAAGTGCCTTGATCTTCCGGATTTCTTTATCTTTGGCCTTTGGGTCTTTCTGTTGCTTTTGTAACGTGCTTCATCAGCTTCGCTCAGTGCTCAAGTCTTCATCTCTAGAATCTTCTTGATGCACAGGTCCTCGTCCTCGAGGCCTTTGCCTCCGATATCTTTTCGGCGTGCAGGTATGTCTCCAAGGCCTTCTTGATGCGTGAGCCTTTGTCTCTGGGTCTTCTTGGCACAGAGGCCTTCATCTTTGGGTCTTCTTGGTGTGGAGGTCTTCATCTCCAGGTCTTCTTGGCATGGAGGTCTTCGTCTCCGGGTCTTCTTGGAGTGGAGGTCTTCGTCTTTGAGGCCTTCAAATCTTTGCTCATTAGCGCCGGGCAAGACTTCACGCTTCAGAGTGGCTGGTCCTCCGGTGCACTCCCCTAGCCCCTCTTAGCTAGTGACCGTGACTGAATCCTCAGCCACGCTTGGTGTAGTCGATGTAGTCGTAGTAGTGGAAGTAGATGTCTAGACAAAAGTTGTCAGTGAGCCCCTTGAGCTACAGTGGTTGATGAAGGTGTAGTAGACCTTGGTGCCGAAGGCGTTGATGTAGCCCCTCGAGTTTGGTGACAGAGGCAAGTCATCGTAGGTGTTGATGTCGAAGGTGTCGATGGAGGCTCTCGAGCCGTTTGTAGTGGGTGAAGATGATGGTGAAGCCCTTCTTGCAAAAGTGTTGGTGGAGGCCAGTCGTAGAGGTTTGTTGACGATGTTTGCGAAGGCCCTCCTGCAAAAGGTGTTTGGCAGAGGTAATTTTGGTGTAGACGCCGAAGGTGTCGGTGAAACCCCCTCATGCCGATGTGTTGGCGGAGGCGAGTCATCATGGTTTTGTCAAAGGCCCTCCTAAAAATAAATGTGTTTTGTCGGAGGTGATGTTGGTGAAGTCACCTAAGATGGTCGTGAAGCCCCTCATGCCGAAGAGCATGGCGAAGGTGAAGGCAAAGCCGATGTAGACGCCGACGGCGCATGCCGAAGGCCATAGAAGTCACATGAAAATGCGCCTGAGTTGATAGGGTGCATTTGTCAGGGACTTAGGTTAAGCGTTGTAACTTCATTGAATATCAACTTGCTGGCAAGTTTTTCCACACTCAGAAAGACACTCGTTTTCTACTTGCTGCAAAAGATGGTTAATCATTTCATATAGTATGCATAAGGGGTGAAGTTTTTTTTGAAGCATTTGAAAGAGCGAAGTGTCACACCCGATTTTAAGGACAAAATCGAATGTAGAATTCTATGTGTCCCAGGAAAGTCACATACATAAAATGACAAATTACAAAGTATCATCACGAGTGTTTATTACATATCGATATAATAATCCATACATGGGAACAAAAGTTTCTCAGCGTAGCGGAAACTGAATCTCTATTCTTCATGTAAAGCCTCCAAACTCCACAGGGACGGTTGACTGGTGAACCACAAGTCTAGTAATCCTCCAAAAAGTCATCATAACCGCCATAATCTGTTACCCATCCGGGAATTTTGTCCAAGTAATGAAAATAAACATGCATAAGTACATCTCGCACTTAACAAATATAAAATGGGGTTCATGAGGCTCAAAAAGGCTGACACTAGTTTAACTGCGATTAGCTTTTAATGAGTCACAATTTTATCCATTAAGTAGCAACAAGTTAGGAATGCCCCAATTAATCACATGAAACTGATAACATGAATAATGAAATAGCATTTAAGAAAAACATCGATGAAACATTTGTCATTATTCCATAAGGAGTCCATGCCACTCGTGTCCGTGAGCACGGCTGTTATAACAATTTTTTTAACACTCTACAGAGGTTGTACAACTTTACCCATGAGCTGTGATTTACCCTTTCGCCTGAGGTAGCTAGCCTCTTGACCGACTTCCAAGGAAGGTCAGTAGGGTTTACTATGTAGTCTTTCAAAGGTTTGTCTAACAAGTTAGTAGCCGCATGGTTTCAATGCTGGCAAGGGGATGTAGAGCTCCCCTTTTGATAGGCATACTCACGCAGAAGTATTCTTAGGAATAGAGGTTGCACTATACCCAGCTCGGCAAACCCCATTTGTGCCTTTCGGTAACCACTAACAAGCTAGAAAAGGCCCTCATACTTGACTAAAGCCAGAGCCATATAGCACTCATGTTTGTACAGTAAGTCTCGAGTGATCACTTACAGATATGTCCTTAGGGAGGACAAGAGCATCATGTATAAAGCCAAATGCTCTCACCCTTTAATTCACGTTGCTAAAAAGCATCTTTTATTTTCATTGCATATTCCATTAATCAAGTCATAGTTCATGATCATAATCAATTGCACTAGCATCAGCTACCCATATGCAAGTATCCCCATAGGTGATAAGGAATCAAGATTCAATAACCAGGAAAAGTAACTGCGGTTATCAAGGTAGACACATGCATATGATTAATGTTATTTAGGTGAATAGGACAACAAGGATGATCCCATGCTATCCTTTCCTTGATCAAAGTTTCCCTACTGGTCCTGGTCTTCAAAGTACTGCTCCTGATCACCAACGAACTGCTCACCGTCTATACTCGATCAATACAGCAACATACAAGCATCCAGAGACAATCATGCGCGAAGCAAACAAGAACAATAATTAGAAAAGTACACCAACAGAGGAAAAAAAGATGAAAGGCTTATAAAACTATTCTACACGTCGCTACGAACAGATAGACGCAAGAATCATTTAAATCGGAGCTAGAACGATGAAGATACTGCCACCAAAAGTTTATTTATAAACTAGTTGCATGAGCATTAATCAAGTTAGGATTTAAACCATGAAATTCAAGAGTTGGTGACAAGGTAAACATTATTACTAACCCGTAGATTATGTCGTTACGAATTCAACGCAACTTGAACAGGCCAAAAAGGAGTAAAGATGGAGATTTTATGAATAAAACAAGACGGGATGGCATTTTTGTAAATTCCTGAAATTGAAATACTCATTCAAAGCTTAAAAATGTAATTATGGAAGGCGCCTTGGACTGCGGGTTTGAAAAGGAAGAAAGGGAGGGGCTCTTTAGAAAAATTTCCACGCGAAGGGGTATCGGTCACTTGGGACCGTTGGATCCAATCTAAACGGCCCCGATAAGTAGGAGGGGGAGAGGGGGAACCTACCATCTAGAATAGTGCCGGGGGCGGCGGCTTGCCTTGGCCGGTGGCGGTGAGGTCGCCGGCGAGCGCGGAAACAGCCTTAGGCGCCAGAACGGGGAGAAACAATGGCACTGGGAGGTAGTGGGGAGCACGGTAGGCTCACCACGATGCTCAACGCGGCCAAAGGAGGTGTGGTGGCGGTGGAACGGCAGTGCGGCGGCGGTTTCGCCGGTGAGCTTGCAGCGGCGATGCTACGGCGTGGGAGAGAGATCAGGGAAGGGTCGGGTGGATGCGGGGAGAGCCTGCGGTGCCTA